TTGGTCATAGAATTCGCTGAAAACTCCAAATTCTTCTTATGTTAAATAAACTGAACAGTCACAAAGTTGCAAATGAAGAGAGAAGATAGATCCTCTAACACGACCTAGCGTGTTTGCGGAAATTTAGACATGTATTTAGAAATGGTTCACCTCAAACACAAGCTAGGCACTGGATACCAATAGGTCCAATACTATGATCGATATGTAACAACAGAAAAATGACCATAAATACTAATGATTTGATCATAGAATTGATTGTTGATAGAATGAGAGATATAAATGCTTTGCCACAAAAGCGTACAAGGTATACCTTTAAAGGATTTCTGAACGAGTTAAGAATGTCTCGAATTGCTTGATTGGTAAGTCTTGTGTTAAAAGAAGCTGGAATCCCGAGTAACGACAAAACAATGTCGTGTTACAAAACCCCAAGAGACCACCAAAATCTGCAAATGTTAACCTACTTTAGTATAACTTACTAAAGAAGGCAACAAACAGTTGAGTATATGTTAACTTACTTTGTGAAAATGATACAGTTCTTCAAAGTTCAACCTCGTTTCTCTGATCATGGATAAGTAGCTCGAGTAAAATGGATTATATCAAACTTTTCCATGATAAAAGTACAAATTTTGCTCATCCTTACAGAACATTAGCCCTCAATTCCATGAATTGTGGAAAGAACTGTAGTAAAACAGCTATGAAGCAATTGGTTATCAATTGGTACAAAGAATATGTTCAAATAATATTACTCTACTGAGCAGGAGAAGCCAAAGAATCTGAATATATTTCTCTCTTCAAATTCTCCCAAACTTCCATGCCTTTGGGATGATGATTCACATACTGTTTTAGGAATGTATTTTCCGAACATGCGACAATAGTTCTCAATGCTAACGTTGGGTCGGCTGCTCCTTGTTCCTTAAGCCAACTATACATTGACAACCTAAGAGTGACCCTCTGAGCGGAATACGAAAGATATGAAGAGAAATTTACTAGAGATGAAACAGGATACCCAAAAGTATTCACAAGGAAATCAATCTTTATTTCTATTATGTCCTTTGATTGGTTAAGGATTTGCGGAGAAACTTTAATCATTCTGTAAACATCCTTCTCCTCGATGCCAGCTTCCACAATACAATCGAACCGCTCTTGGAGCTCTTCTCCCTTCCCTCGAAACACCTTGAACGCTTTTTTCATCTTACTGGAGTTTTCTTTTAGTCCTAATTTCAACAAGAACTGAGTTTTCTGTTGCTTTGATCTTACATCTTCCCCATTGTCTGGAAGTGGCAGAACTCTTGTCCTAAGCTTCCAGTTCTTCAATTCTTCTGGATTCTCTAAGATAAATTGACAAAGCCGTTTCTTTCCGACATTCAAGATAGAGAGCAAGCTGTTAGTCTTTTTCAGAGTACACGATCCTAATAACAAGGGATGAGAGCGGAAAAGGTATCCTATCTGTTGCACACACATGTCGATTTCATTGAAGAACAAAAGGCATCGCCTTATATTTGAAACGAACTTACCAACTCGCATTTGAGGGAATTGCAGGAACACAGAATATATCTGCATCATCGGGGATCCCATTTTTAGTAACAATCCAATTAAGGAAAGTGATTTACTTCCTGAATCCTCAAATAGAAAATCTGGATGTAATCTGATTAAATCAGCCAACTTCTCATCACTGCAACCCATGTGTTTAAACCAGAAAAGAAGCCCAAGAATTTGCTTCCAGTAATAGGAATTACCATCCAATAGTTGTTCTTCAACCCAGCTTGGTTCAAATCCAATGTTCTTCAATTTGTCTAATACCTTGACAAACCCATTATTAACACCCCCAACCAATAGATAGGGGTTACAAACAACAAATTTGACAACAGTAGCTTGGTCAAGACCGAGCTCTTCATACGCTTTTAACTTCGATAGCAAAACACCGTAGTCGTACCGAAATATCTGAGTTGCCTCCTTATAAATCTTCCCTATCTTACTTCGTTCAATACCATAGTTACACAACACATGACAGTTCTCAAGCAACAAATCATCATCACTCAAGAACATCACCTCTCGCGGAAGAAATTCATTATACTCTGCAGGTTGCAACCCCACACTCTCAAAGAAAGGTTCGAATTCATTAATAGGATGGTACCGCAAAAACCGAGTAATCGACCGTCCAATCTTGCCCTCATTTTCAACTCTTCCCAGAAGTTTTGCAAGAAAGATCGGCGAATTTTTACTCATATTCTCAGCATCCATAAACTGAATCCCTCTAGTAGAATGCAAATACTCCAACAAAGCATCCTGAGCCTCCTTTCTAATGGCTCGAGAAATCCGATGCCCGTTTCCACTACCCGTAGTCGAATTTCCACATTCTCCCGATTGGGGAGCCTTTTTAGTTCGATAAAATCTAGGGTTCGAGAAAACAGGGGAAAATCCAATTCGCCAATACAATACTCGAACTAAGTTGAACTTGTTATCAGCAATAATCGAAGAAGCAACCAAGGAAAATGTTTTGAACTTTTGCAAGTAGGACATGACAGAATACACAATGTACGCAGTTCAATATCATTACATATATCAAAACTGAAATTTCAAAAGGTACCTCTTCCAACTGTTGGATTGAAAAGTCCGATGGTTTCAGAGAAATTTGAAGTAGAGAGCTTCTCTGAAATTTTGTTTGCTAATAATGATTAGCCTGAAGGAGTCGATTGAGAGTCCGAGATGATTTGAGAAGGGCGGCTGTGCAACCATTTCAAATTTAGGGCTTCGAATCATTTTGATTTTGTAGCGAGAACAATCAGCCAATGGAAAGAAACACGCTGATACATACATACATACATACATATATATATGCACACACAAATCAATAGTTCACGAGTTGCTCCTAATTTGATTGAGGTCAAAAGTCTATTTTATCCCTTCACGAGTTGCTCGTAATTTTAGTTAAGTCAAAAGTCCATTTTACCCCTTATATTTGTTCACGGTCACTAATTATCTAATTAATAGTTCGTTTATGATCTAATTTCCTTCTCGGGCCAATAAGAAGGTGAGATTCAATTATTCAAGTCCCAAAATCAACCCTAAACCCTATACAAGAAAAAGTGAATTCTAGCTCATGAAATTACGTTTCCAGCCCCATATTTTGTCAAGCTTTTCAGAATAGTAGACTTATTGAATTGACTACAAAAGTCATTTTCACTCGTACAAATGAAAAGATAAATCCTCGTAAGTAGCAGTTTTTAACTCACTCAGGGTTAATATCGAGTCGTTTATAATCATCGTGTTATTAGTCTGCTCATTTAACGAATTTATAAAGAGATTAACTTTTTTCGTGATATAGTCTTAAACAAACTCATGGTATATGATAACCTCACTCGCATGTCTCTACATGAACAATTGGATTAAATCATTTGTAACAATTACAAAATGAGTTATAAAGAGTGTATCATTGTAACACACTCGATCTTATTCATATACTATAGACTCTTTTGGTTATATTCTTAAACATGATCCTCTCGTATGTCAACCACATGTTGTTCAAAATTACATTAATAGCCTTGAATTACAAATAAAAATAATTCTAAATATTCATTGGACATATCTCGATAATACTTATAGACTCTAGAATGACAAGCAAGTGAAAAGGAATACTAACCGTCGACTTTTTCCCATTAAATTTAACCCTTTGTCTCTCGTTTTACTTTGAAGATCTATATTACTCTGTGAGTTGAACTGCATCGAGAGGATCTACGAGTTCATATAAGATGGAGTACATAGACTCTATCTCGATATTAATGACTTTGACCTATTTATTTTTGTCGTCGTTCTTCGTTACTACTTTGAGGGTAACAAAGCAACTCACATCCCAATCATGTAAAATTGATAGAATAAGAAAAAGAGTAGAGATTAGAGAGTTCTCGAGATTTGTTCTGTTCTTCAACGTAAGTTCCCTTCCTTTGAGATCTCACATCCACCTTCTTGCCTTAATCTATTATTTTTTGTCTTCTCTTCCTTCTGATGTCAACCACAACTAATTTAGGGTTCTTCTTATTCCTTTCAGGTTTCACAGCAACCGAATCAATATCAGGGTCAGCAATTTGTTTCCAAATTTGCCAGTAGGGTTGTTTCTAGATTCTGAATCGAGGGTCCCCCTATATCTGGAGCGAACTCCAGGCAAATATCAAGCGATCCTCCTTTCATCACAGAGGGGCAGGTGGCTCGAGAATGACGATAGGTCCCTTTTCCCGACAACAGATCAAGACAAAAGGTAGAAGGAGCTCTCGATTCCACAAGCAAGATTGATCATGTCAAGCTTGAATGATTCTAAACATGCAATCCAAACTACATATAATTGCAAAAAAACTTAGCAATTAACTAGAAGAAACCATAAATTCGAGTCTCTTTTACAAATACAACATACATGACTTTATGTAGTCTCAAAAGGAAACTCTTGACATTACACGACGCTTACCTCCCTTCACCACCCCATGGAGATGGTCCTACAGGGTTCATAACTACTCCTCTTACTACAGGACGCTTACCTAAACTTTTATGGTTTACCCTAGCATTCCCCACTTGTATGACTGCTGCTGAGCAATTTTTGGATATCAAACGAACCTCCCCAAAAGGTAATTTTAACGTGGCCGATTTCCCTTCTTTTGCAATCAGTTTCGCTACAGCACCTGCGGCTCTAGCTAATTGTCCCCCTCCCCAAGTGTGATTCGATGTGACCGTAATTAACCACCATGTAAATGTAACCTAAAATAAATAACAAATTCTAAAATGAAATTATGATCCACCCAAAATTTATGAGAATGCTCGATTCTTATTCATGTGACATGAACTGAAACATGTTTTGATAATTTTAACAGCATTTTCTTCGCATTTTTTTTTGTTGAAGTTTATATTACATGATTGATGTATTGGTTCATATTACAGATCGAACCGAACCAAATTCATGGCCCCAAAAAANAAAAAAAAAAAAAAAACCTTAGGGTTATTTTGTAGGACAACACCAAATATTCCTTCACCACCAGAAGTATAACCCTTGGCTTCTAGGGTTAGGGTTTTCACTTCTTCTTCTTCTTCTACTTCACCTTTTTCCCTTTTCAATTTCTTTTCTCCATTTCCCGCTTCTCTTTCTAATTACTGCAACTGCTGTTCCACTTCGTTGCTTTATTTTTCGATTTAATTTCTGGATCTCGATCTCTGTTTCTCTTCAATGGACATGCGTAAGCGGAGGCCTGAGCCTGCCTTCAATTCTAATGGTACCTTCAAGAAGCATAAGCAAGGTTCGTTTTTTTTTTCTTTTTTTTTTTTCTCTCTCTTTTTTCCGGGTTATTATACTTTTTTTTGAAGTGGATGTTCGATGCTCTGCCTCTTTCCTTTGTACAACTAGTTTGAATCTTCGTCTGGTTGCTTATGAGAGGGAGGAATTGAAGGGGAAATTTTGTGCTTAGTCAGTGTTTTATTTTATTCAATGTAGATGGAGTGGAAGGAATTTCACTTTCCTGATTTAATTCGTTTCTTTTCTGAAGCTAGAAATGTCGCTTTTGCTGTCTTTGTTGTTTTTCTTTGGATTTTTGAGTTGATTCAGAAGAGTTAGTGGCTATGTGTTCGAGACCCCTGATCTGATGGCTGGAATACTCTTTTAATAACTGCAATCTGCTCTTTGAAGATGGTTAGATTTGAATTCAAGTGAAATTGGAAAGGGGGTAATTGGAGGGCTTGTAGAACGGTGGCTGTTGGTGGTGAGATTTGGGACCATGTGAGGGGCTTGGTTTCCATTGTCATCCTTACAAAGTGTCCAGAATTGTATTATTATGGCTAGCTGTAGAGCCCTTTTCTTGATCTCCTGAACGGGCTTGGGATGATCATCATCCATCTTCTTGTCTGTTTCATCTTGTGCCATATGAAATGAACAATCTTTTTTTTTTTTTTTTTAATAAAAAAAATCGAAAACAATATCCTTAGTCTAAAGCTACAGAAGTTCACGAAAAAGAAACCAAATGGAATTAATGAAGTATTGCTGGAATTATGTGAGACATGCCCCCAAGGGAAAACTTTAATTTGGGTAATTGGAAGAAAATATCCTCAATTGTTCCAAAATTAATCTTTTTATGCTCATCTTTTCTGGTGATTAGGTAGTTCTACAATGCATGTTCTTCAATGGGAATCAAGCAACCAATGAAGCCATTTAATTTTAGATCATTCTCTCTCTGTCTTTTTTAAATGTTCCTGAATTCTGGAAGAATGCCAGTTTATCTTTCTTTTTGTGCTTTGAAGGATTAGTTCCTCTGATTGTGCCCCCATGGAAGTTTTCAAGTCTGAGATCAACTCAAGGAATTTGGCCATCTAGCTGACATCTTGATGGGAACTAATTATACTGAAGTTAACTGAACCCTTTTGGACTATTCACAGCTTTTTTAGTTTATAACCTTCAACTCTCTCAATAACATTGTTTTAGAATTCTTTGCTTTAGATACTCGTGAAGGGGTAAGCACAAGTAACTATGTCGAGATTTAGCTGCACAGCCTAACGTTGAGTAGCTTGACCATACTGTGGTTCTCCATCACTTCTAATTTAAGCTATGCTGATGTGGTTAATTGTTACTGCATAAACCCACCACTAGCAGATATTGTCCTCTTTGGACTTTCCTTTCAAGGTTTTAAAATGCGTTTGTTAGGGAGAGGTTTCCACACCCTTATAAAGAATGCTTTGTTCCCCTCTCCAATCGATGTGGGATCTCACAATCCACCCTTTTTGGGGCCAGCGTCCTTGCTGGCACACCGCCAGGTGTCTGGCTATGATACCATTTGTAATAGCCCAAATCCACTACCAGCAGATATTGTCCACTTTGGGCTTTCCCTTCCAGACTTCCCCTCAAGGTTTTAAAACGCGTCTGCTAGGGAGAGATTTCCACACCCTTGTAAAGAATGTTTCATTTCCCTCTCCAACCGATGTGGGATCTCACATTAACAACATTTAGGTCCAAAACTAACTAATCTGTCTCAGTAATGACAGCTATTTTATTTAGATTTCCCCTTTTTGGGCAAGAAATGGTAATGACATTAACGTAATTGTAAGTTGCTATCAGCGGTTTGATCTCTCTCCACTTTTAATACCTCTTAATAAACCTTTACTGAATTATCCAGTAGTTTGTTGAGAATGTTGATGATAAACAAAGAATTAGAAAGGGAAACCCTTGCCGAACACCTCTTGATGCAACTATTCTCCTCCTTGGACTAGAATCTAGAATTGCTAATGTAGCCTTGAATCCAATTTCTCCATTAATTGTGAATTTGAAATCGTCGTAAAAAATGTCCAATCAATTTAACTCCTGTAGTTTTATTTTATGTTCTGCTGAAATTCATATTCTCTATTTTGGGCTTTTAAGTTCAGTGATACGTTATTTTATCCTTTATTCTTGAGTTCAACATTCAAGCCTTTTATTATGAAATAGCACGTAGTTTTTAAAGCTCTGGGCTTGTTGTAACTTAGAAATACCGGTTGCCATTCATCAAGGTCGATCGTCAGTTACTTTGTCATTCGGTGACTAGCTCCTCAGCCTTCCGGCATATTTGAGTGGTATACACTTTTTTGGAATATGAGCTGAATATCTGTTTGAAGAATTATGACTTAAATAACAATTCCTCAATATCTTGAGTTTATTTAACAATTCCTCAATATCTTGAGTTTATTTACTGCGTTTTTCTTTCTTTAAGCAGTGAGTGATGGAAACAATTATTTTTTTTTATATTAATATATCTATGTGCAAGGTACACATTAGATCATAAGAAAAGTTAAAATTGTTCTGGCAATAGGTTTATTGTATCCTTAGGTCATTTATCAGGGCTATAATGAAGGCTTGGAGGCTCAAATATTATCCTTCCATTGATGAGATTCGGTTCTAGGAAGGGGTTTATTTTTAAATTACTTTTTTGGGTCTTGGGATTTCATCACGATTCAACAAGAAACTGTTGAAGTGACCAAATTCATATATTAAGAAATTACTCTACAGTAACAGAAAGCTACAAACTATTTAGTAATATTTTAGTTGCCTAAATAATTCTAGTGTGAAGATATATTGAAGTATTAGAGTAAAAAATCTTAACAATTTGTAACTGAGAAAGAATAATTAATGTTTTGCAACAGAACTGGAGCCCTTATCAACTGTAGGGAGCAAATCGAAGCCATGCACCAAGTTTTTCAGGTTCACATCTTACCTACCTAAATAAATATTTGAACTGCATATTATCTCTCCTAATGATTTAAACCTCCTGTAAGAATTTAATTGATCGTGAATTACAAAATAAAGGCGAGTAATTGCGCTTCTGAAAACTGGGAATACAGGTATAAATTATTACTCTAAGCCTTCAACGAAGTAAATAATTGATTTAAAAACTGAACATATTATGAGTTTAGAAGTTTAGAAATTTAAACTTTGCTCAATTGCTACCGAACTCAGAGTCTCTCTCTCTGTTATTTTGCACTGCACATGACAAACAATCGCATTCTCATTGGTTAAAACTTAGTTAGTTTGATCCATTTTATGATCTGAGTTCAATTTGGCTACGTTGTATCCTATTGATGTTGAGTCATTCTATGGATCACGTAGATGTCAATTTCTTGTCTTGGTATTTGTTTGTTGGCAATTCATTTCCTTCAATCCTTCGATTCTCCTCTATAAATTATTGTAACCATGCATCTTTATACTTCTAAAAAGGTGATCAACCACAACTTTATCTTGTCTCAGAAAGTTATTTTGTAATTGTTCGTGACGATATTTTAAGTGCCTAAAGGTTTGAATTCTTTGATGGGTTAGTTCACTTGTTTGGCAGGGTAAATTTTCTACAGAATAGAAAAGGGGAGAAAATAGAAATTGTATTTTATTGTTTTTATGTTTTGTTACTGTTTGTATGATCATTAGTCATCGTATGAGATATCTTAATTAAATATGTCCTATAATTAAATTACCTCAAGAGAAGAAATGAATGAAAATACAAAAACGAATATATTTCTCTGAAACATTTTTTAAATGAAAAAGAAGAGAGCGGTTTTATATTATTGATTTAGAGAACAATTTCTATAATAGTTTTGTAGAATATTCACCTGAAAGGGCCCTTGGGGGAGATTGATTGGAGAGGGGATTGATATATTTGCAAGTTCGTTCTTGTGGGGCTGCTGTTTTTATAGTTTCCTTCTTTGTTTTGTCTTTTTTTCTTGAAAAGAAAGCTAATTTTCAAAGTAACCCAAATATCTAATAGATTTTCAATTTTGATTGACAATTTCCCTTATTTGTATGCTGTATGTACTGTCTACAGAATAGTCTGTGTTTAGATTTATGATTTTCCGAGGAAGGACTGTATTTGTTCTTGTTTTGCTTGTGTTTTGCTCGTGTTTTGTGTCTTGGTTTGGTTGATCTTATAGGTGTGTTTATCTTCCTGGATTTCAGTACTGCTGGGTGTCCGTTTGGTGAAAGCTGCCATTTCTTGCATCACGTTCCTGGTGGTTATAATGTTGTGGCTCAAATGATGAATCTCCCACCTGTTGGTTCTCACCCGTCCAGAAATATGGCTGCCCCGCCTTTGGTCACCAACGGCGGGTCCTCTGCTCCGTCCCAAGTCAAAACTCGCATGTGCAATAAGTACAACACTGCCGAAGGCTGCAAGTTTGGCGATAAATGCAACTTTGCTCATGGAGAGTGGGAACTTGGGAGGCCTCCATCTCACGATAATCCCCATTCTATGGGAGGACATATGGTTGGTCGAATGGGTGGCCGAATGGACCTGCCACAACCAGGTCCTGCTGCAAGCTTTGGTGCTTCAGCTACAGCGAAAATCAGTATAGATGCCTCCCTTGCAGGAGCAATCATCGGCAAGGGTGGGATTAACTCGAAACAGATTTGTCGCCAAACGGGTGCCAAACTCTCCATCAGGGACCACGAATCAGACACAAATCTCAGAAACATAGAACTGGAGGGTACTTTTGAGCAAATTAACGAAGCAAGTGCAATGGTGAGAGAGCTTATTATCACAGTATCGATGGCAGGACCCGGCAAAGCCCCCGGCGCGATGGGAGGAGGTCCTGCTCCTTCAGGTAGCAACTATAAAACAAAGATGTGTGATAATTTTGCAAAAGGTTCTTGTACTTTTGGTGAGAGATGCCATTTTGCACACGGGGCGGCCGAGTTACGCAAGTCTGGAGTATGATCATGTGCCTGATTTTGTGTAGTTTTAATTAAAAGAAAGTTTTTGTTTCAAAGCATGTGATCAACACGAGTGCGATATTGAAGTCGGGTAGGGTTCTTGTTCTTTATGTTGTAGCTTTATGAGCATCTCTTGTTATTCCTTGATTAGAAGATAACTGAAGATAATTAAGTTCTCGAGTTTTTTATCCAAGAGTTTTTTTTTTTTTTGTTAAGTCTTGAAACACAACTACATCTTTCATAAGCACTCAGCATCTTGTCACTTCGTCTAAACACTTGGTTGAATGAATTAATTTATGCATATGATGAAGGGAATGATACATTATCACGCAAGAAATATTAAGAATCAAGCTAAGGAATTAGAAAGAGAGAACAAACACTACCTTACATTCGAGAGCTAAATGCTTTCTACATTAAATTTTTGGTTCCATCAAAACCCACAATTACAACTCAAAATTTCATTGGATTTTGAGAGGGGAAAAAACTGACATGGAAGGAGAACTCGATCATTCCACAAAACAAAACTCAACTGTTAGCTTTAAAAATCAACAAGGCCCTGAAGGAAGCATGGGATAAATAAAAATATTACAGAGACATTATTCGTTTCTTTTCCGCCACAAGAATTACAATGAGATTAGCTAATACTCTTTTTTTGTTTTCCTTTTCTGATTCTACCGCCACGTGCAGAGGGTTACCTCTCAGCTACTCATAGCAAGTAGAGTACCAAAACGGAATTGGCGAAAACTACTAGTTGACAATTGAATTAAGAAACAAGAAAAAAAAAAAAAAAAATGCTTTTCCTGCTTTACCATCATATTTGACTGTAAGACCCACCACCTTTTTGGTCTTAATTAATCATTCACCTTGCAAGCAGTAAAGCTGACGAATGTTTCCTGAAGCTGCAACCAAAATAATCCATTTAAACATCATGTTGAACTAACAAACATGCAAAACACATTACAGGTTAAGGAGAGAAGTCTGATTCGTATCTAAATTTATACAAAAGAACCTTGGATTTGATAAACGTCTGTAGTGCTAGTAAGCTAAGCTATACAAGAAACCTTGGATTCGATAAGATCTGTTTGATACTGAGTTCCAACTAAAAGGGAAATGGAAACTACGCTTTTGTACATGGCACCACGGACCATCAAAGCTAGAAGAAATGAAGATATTACTGATTCTAGAGGACCACAAGGAGCAAAGTCATTGCGGGTAACATGCCAAAGAAGGATCAATGCATGTGAATGTCCCAACCGTAGGGGTATCCCCCCTTGCTTGGAAGAATGAAATTCAGGACCCATATAGAGAAATGTTGGTCAATTAAATTGTTCAATCTAGACAAAGGTATTTTTCTAGCTTAGTTGGTGAAAGACAAGGTTGGGAACTGGAGATTTGGAATGGTTCATCATTGGATGATTTGTGACTATTCCAGACTAGTTTTCAATTACTATCATTAATTGGGCAAAGGTCAATTGAATATTTGAGACTTCATTTCAAAGGAGGGTGTGTGGGCACATCCTTCAAATGCCAACGCTATGTAACATGCCCAACACCTTCCACACGTTCGAGATACATTTTTGCTTTTATGAAATATGTGAATTCAAAATAAAAAATACAAAAGGTAAATCCACTAAAAAAACATTAAAAAAAAAAAAAAAAAACACAATTGCAGTGGGTGAGCATGAACAAAACGAGGGTGGTGGTGTAGTGGTTGTTGCTTCTTCGTGAATTGCAGAAGCTGAAAAATAGTTAGGGTTTTTAGTTTTGTATGTTTTTAAAGTTTATATTTGTTTAAAAGTTAAAATTAGATAGCTTTAAACTTGGGCTCAAAATAAATGGCTTGGGCTTTTCTCTTTTGTTAAAAATTTATCCCAACGTGCAAACACATGTATCCTTCACGTGTCCAACATGTACAAACACTCCCTGAAACTGGCTATTCATCATTTTATACCTATGAACATTCAAGCCAACTTAGGCATTGATCAGTAGTCATTCTTTGCGGTAAAAAAGAAGTCAAATGGACCATTATCAATCATGTCTTTGATGTATTGATAGAGTACGTGCAAAGAAAAGAGAAGATCGTTACCATATAGCCAGTCTTTGAAGTATACATGAAGTGCAGATGACAATTCTCGTTTGCGGTTCTCTTCAAGTGGGGTTTCTCTCAGTATTTGATTTACTTCTTCTAAAGTCTTTTGCTGAGAGTAAAAAAAAAACATATAATCAGTCCATTACATGAGGTAATTGAAACCAACAAACATGCACATGCCAACGCAAGCTTAAATCTAATCAACAAGATTTGTTGGGACATACATTCCTCTCGAGAGATGCAGAATAGGCTTCTGGTAATGGGAATGGATTGCAGTGAGTAGATCCAAGAAATTCACCAGAAACCCAGTTCGGAATCTGCAATAGATGACAGAGCACCACAAAACAAAATGTAAACAATCTTTTCCATCCATACAAAATAGTGCAGAAATCCACGTGCCAGAAATGAAATTAAAATCCGTAAACTAGGCAATACAAATTTGAATCTCAACTTACTAACTCTAGTGGCTGCGTCATAAGGTGAAAACAAAATCTTTGTATTCTGGCTGTTTTTTAATGATAGGAAACACATGATTTAATAAATCAAAAGAGAGAGGAAATACAAAAAAGGAGATGAGATATCCACAATCAGCCAAGGGGACAACAAAAAGGACTCCCAATTGGTATATATTTGCATCAAACAATAAATTACAAAAGTCAACATGATGAAGTGAGCACCAAAAATTGATCCTAAAAATCCTAAAGACAAGAGCCACTTCATTGAAGCATGCCATGTTTCTTTCATACCAAAATATCCATAAAAGAGCCATCACTTAATTATATCCAATCAATTGATAAACAGTACTTTTAGAGGATGAGAGGAACACTAGTGTTGTCTAGTCTCCTCTCTTTAGACACCAGTAATGAAGTTGTTTTACAATTATTTTGTAGGTCATTTTTTACATGATTGGAATCCCTTTCTTTAGTACGGTCCTTTTTGTGGATTTGATTTTTTATGGATGCTCATGTATTTTCTTTCCATTTCTTTTTTAATGTAAGTTTGGTTCTCTATATATATATATACACAAGACAATTCCAATTAACGATTGCATAAAAAATTAAAAAAATACTTGCAGAAAAGCCTACCAAAAAATTTGTGAACTGGTCAGGATCCAGACACGTAGCAGACTCAGTTTGTACATCAGAGACACCTGCAGGATGAGATAATGAATCATGTGGATCTACCACTCCAAGGGCAAGTGGTTCATCCCATCTGTTCAAAGCTGCTTCAAGGCCAACTTCACTCATGTGGTCTCCCAATTGAGGGTAAAATGTATTATATGGTGCCACCTGCAATGGGATTTCAACTTTCCAATTTAATGATAATTTAAAACAATCCTAATTTCTAATGAACAAGATTAAATAACAACTCGCCTGCAACTTATGATTATCACCAACTATCAGCGGTCGTTGATTTACCCCCAAAAAGAACAAACACTCTCGACAGTTTGCAATGCAGACTCTTTTCGAAACTGTAACTAAATGAACTCGCTCACAATGTTCAACTCTTACAGCCTGAAAAAGGAACATAACATATTTAAGAGAGACTGGGTTTTTTTAATATAAGGGAAACAATTTTATTAATAAATGAAATAAAATAGTGTAAACTACAACACAAGGTTGGATTTTTTTTTTTTTGTCGTGGTTCATGGGAGATCAACAATACAAAATAGTGCCGAAAGATCCCGTCATGGAAATGTGAACCAAAAGATAACATAAAAATGATGGATAATACTATTTTGAACACTTCAAATCCCGATCCTCTCATAAAATATCCCATCCACATTCCTTAATCTTTTAATTACTCTTCCAAGTGTGCATCATTATGTCCTTTATGATTAATAGCAACTAAAGGTTTCCTTGATGATAGAAAGATGAAAAGTAGCCTTATCAAGTTTGGTCGACTGATAGAGGGGTATATCTTGTTAGTCGAACAAGATCAAGAGTTCAATAGTGATCAACATCAAAGTATATCCCATAATGAAATCCATGGTTGTGCTCTATCTGGATGTGGCATTGGCCTTGATAAGATAAAGCTCTCGTTACAAGACAAAGGTAAACAGACGACTGACTACTCAAGAGGACACTCAAGTGGTACTTTGATCAAAGGGAGGATTGTAAAGAGCGCAAATAAAAGCTCACATTAACTAGACAAATGAGAGGTTCATGGAATATAAGTGAATATAATTACACCTTTTGAGTGAAACCAAAAACAAAATGACAAGGGATTACGCACAAAGTGAACAATATCATACGATTGTAGAGAAAAAGTAAGTTCCCTTCTTTGCACAGAAGTTATGTCAAATTCACCCTAAATAGAAGCTAAATGTCATACGCACACTACTCAGCAAGAACATAAGCAAATTCAAACCAACAAAATATATTTGGTTCCTGTTCCATTAATGAAAACAATGTATAGCTCTCCACCTAAAATATTGCATACACAATCAATAAACAGCAGCCATTAGCAAAATGCAATTATTATTGTTAATTATTACCTTTCCAACCGCTCCAAGAACAATGGTAGTATCAGAACACCCGTATATTGTAGCATATCTCAGAGGTGCTAATATGTAAATGACAGATTCGTGACAGTTGAGCACCTGCAGCCACAAATAAAATATTAAAACATAATGTCCAATTTCACATAGCACTTAACAATTAAGAAGAAGCATAACTCTATTAAATCAAACTTAAGAAATAATGTCCAATTTCACAAAGCACTTGACAGATAAGAAGATGCACAACTCTACTGGATCAAACTGAACTTCAAACTCAAATAGGCAGGACCAAATGAAGTCAAACAATCATTCTCAATCATGTGTAAAACAAATAAAGATGATCGTCATATTACTTCAAATCAACAAAGATAGAGACTAGCTCATTTAGGTAAGCTACAAATTAGTCACAAGAACTTGTGAAGAAACCCCAAGGGTGTTTGATGTTTTTTATATATATTTGAGGATGTCCAGGCCCCCTTGCGCACAATTTTACTGATCTCACAAGAAAAACATCGACCCCACCATATTGTGTTACTAAAAAAACCTCATAGAATATTAAATCATAAGTGACCACTTTGGTTTAAACTCATACCCTTTAAGCCATTTATTATTCTCATGACTCTAATTGACCATTGGGATAACCCCATGGTAGTTGGGTTTTTTATGACCATAAAGAAATAGATGAAAGAAAAAGCACTTAACATATAGCTAAAACTTACAACTGATATCAAATCCGGGGACAACTCCTAGGTAAAAACAAAATATTAACATGACCAACTTCAAGATCTTTTCCTTCTACTCTATCTTTCATTGCCTCCATGAGGTTAGGGTCAGAAATAAATTTTCCTTCAATCATTTCCAACATCATAAATACCTTGATTTCAATTAAATGTAAATTGGGCAAATTTTGGCCAGATTCTGAATTCACTTGTTGAACAAATCATAATCCATACGCTCAAAAGCAAAAGACACAACAGATCCAGGATCAATACTTAAGAAAAATAAAATGATAACCTTGCAATGCAGAAACTAAGCTTCTCTGAAGAATCACAGCAGATTATTACTATACAGTAGCAACAAAATGATGACAAACCTTCACAGAAGAACCTTTGAGATCAGACGCTTGCTTCACAAGCGAGGACTTAGAAATTCCCTCAATATAACTAGGACCCCTGGTGAAGCTAGTCTTATTGACTGAACTCGTGGATGCATCAGCCATAGCAATATCTGGGTCAGATGGTCCATTTTCTTTAAGAGAAGCTCTCTCAGAAATTTGTTCCAAGGCAGAAGCAATGTTTTGCAGAATCCAGTCCAACACTTGAGCTGCTGGCACAGGAGCGGCAGGCATATCAGGATCTGAGTTAGCAAAAAATGGAGCATGTTGGCTCAGTTGAATTCCATCAGAACCCTTATCACCAAATTGAACCAAAAATCCAAGGTGCTCAAATCTGTCCACAGATAAAACCTACGACATTGCATGCAGTTAGCAAAGACAAGATATTCTGAATCTTGTAAATAAAAGCAGAAGTTCATTATGGTAGATTATTTTCAAGTCAAACCAACCATGATGAACAGAAATTATAAGAACAAAAAAAAAAAAAAAAAAAAAAAAAAAAAAAAAAAAAAAAAAAAAAAAAAAAAAAAAAAAAAAAAATTCACCATGGTACAGATCTTCTAAGATTAATAGTGAGAAAACGACTAGTAAACAAGAATGTATCACAACTGGACAAGCCTGCAAATAGTGAAGCTTATTTGGTATGAATTCTAGTGTATATATCATCGTCTAAATCAGTTGGAATCAGCTATAATGTACTTTAGAACCTATACGAAAGCAAACTGCAAATAATACACAGGAGGACAAGTACAAAAATATTGATAGTCACAGTACAACCAAAAATCCAATTAATACTTAATATAGTTAAGCTTCAGCATAGTTTCAACACCGTATTTCCCCCCAACACCACTTCAGAATTTTGCTGAGAATTGAGAAATCCTAGGATAACCCAACAAAAAATTACAGCAGTCTTTCCGGCTCACAAGTGCGTGAGCTAAGACCAGCAAGTTACTGTATTGATGAGGCCACTCAAGAAGGAGCAGCATATTACATGCATGTCTGCAGAGGGAACAAAAGATTATATTTTTTTATCATAATGCCATAGCAGTAAAAAAAAAAAAACTGCATTGTGAAAGAATTAGATTACCATACTCCTTTCAATTTAGAGACAGCTTACATATTACAATACAGTTCTGTGCTCATTAGAGGAAATTGGATGAAAACCAAGACATAAAGTAAACTACATTGCATGCGAAGGGTTACAACGAATTTTTCATTATCAAACACCAGTGTTTATTTTTCTAATTTCTCCTGCTTCATCATAGTTGATTTCTCCTTTTAAAAAACAACAATGAAAAAACATTAAAAGAAGTAGAAAAAAGCTAAAGAGAGTAGTAGGCAAAAATTACTAACCAAAAGTTCCTCGCCTTCCCCCTCCACAGTCTCTGCCAATAGAGAGAGAATGTTGCTAATGTGCTTTTGTAAATATGATAATTGGTGAGCCTCTTCATCAGCCTGTGATGGCATGAGTCGACGGCTATTGCTGCGCACAAGCTGCAGTGTGATGGAAGAAGAAATTTGAGCTAACTTCAGCAGTAAGCTGATAATAAAGTGATTGATGTAAACATTACTGCCATACAGAAATAAAGAGATAATTCACAACAACGTGCAGGTACGATGAACCTGAATGGTAAAGCATATAAAAGTGAACAATCAACTTCCTCTGTTACTTCCACATCTAAATACCTGCTCGTATGCATAGAAAGAGAGAGAAAGCACTATTTCTACAATGCAGAAGTACTAATGTCAACAAGAAAAACTCTGCAGAACTAAGACAAACAAATGATACTAACAGAGCCCTGTCCAGAGAAACATTAATCAAGAAAACATCAGTGTCATTGTCGAAAAATTAAAGCCCATGGATCATGAAAGCCAAAACAAGGTCTACTTGATGGACCATCAATGGTTGAAAGCAAGCAATGAATTCTTTGTCCAGCCAACTAGTTAAACATAAGACCTACTTCAGAAAAATAAAAGAGAAATTCTAAGCCGACTGAAAAAATGAGGTCCAGTAAGAAAACAATTCTTATCTGTTATTTCCCAAATCATTGTTACTGGCATCAAACAAAACAGGTAATTCATAATTGACAGTCCTACGTACTCCGAGATTATAAAATAGAATGTTCATCCACTAAACTGAAGCTCTTAATTCTCAACACATAACAATTTAGTTTCGCATTATATGGAATTAGTTACCCTCATTCACAAAACTCGGCAATACAAATGCAGAAACTACGAAAAACGAAAGAACAAATCCTCATATTGAATAAACAATTGAACTCTCACCAACGAATTCATCAACATCCATTCAACAATCAGCAGAAAAACACACCAATGAGCAAACCAAAACAAGCCACTTCACCCCCAAGATCCATATAAACACCAAAACCCGAGAGCAGCATAATTAAAGATACCAAAAAAAAAAAAAAAATCGACCTGCAAGGGCGAAAGGGCAGACAAGTAGCCATCGAAAGCAGAAGTAGAAGGCCAGACATCGGCAACAGCAGCAGCATCCTTATGCGATCTCGGGAGCAGCCTCTTGTAGGAATGAATATAAAAGAAGAGGATGAGATCATGAACATCGACGCCAACAGAGTCAATCTCATCAGGGGAAGCATTGAGGAGGGGGTCGGAGGGGGAGTGGAGAACGGAAGCGATGGCGTCGAGGACAAGGCGAGCATGGTCAAGGGAGATCTGCAGGGATTCGGAAATGGCAGCGGAGTTGATACGGTGGGAAGGGGATGAGTGGAGGAGGAGCTTGTCCTTGAGCGGGATTAGGGTTTGGACGGGGTCGGAGAAGACGAGCTTGGGAATGGGGAGGAGGCCATATTCGAAGGGCTCGCGGCGGGGACGGATCAGAGAGATTGGATCATTTGGTGGCATTGTGGTGGAGGAAGAAGAAGGAGAGGGAGGTTGGTCAGTGGGTTCGGCCATGGCGATGGAGAGAGAAGGAGAGAGAGTGAAGCGCACAGAGCTTTGTGGAAATGGCAGATCCTGTGAGAGATGAATAACCCGCCAGAAGAGGGGATGGAATTGCCTGTGGATGGATCTATACTCTGCACACGTGGATTTATTAAATTATAAATTTAGTCCTTCCATTTTTTTTGTCCATTTATTTAATAATTCTACAATAATTTCCATTTTATTTGAATTTTAGATATGATAGAAACTTAAATTTTCAATTAATTTTTATTTGATGAACTTAGTTTTAAAAAAAAAAAATTAATCCAAATAAAGTCACAATCCAACATGAGATCCCAGTTGGTTGAAAAGGGGAACAAAATATTTTTTATAAACGTGTGAAAATCTTTCTCGAGTAAATGCGTTTTAAAATGTGAGACTAACGACGATACGTAACGGGGCAAAACAGACACTATCTGTGCTAGCGGTGAGCTTGAGCTATTAAAAATGGTATCAGAGCCAAACACTCGGCGGTGTGCTAGCGAAGATACTAGGCCCCCAAGGGGAAGATTGTGAGATTCCACATCGGATAGAAAGGGGAACAAAGCATTCCTTACAAGGGTGTGAAACCGTTTTCCGAGTAGACGCGTTTTAAAACTGTGAGGTTAACAACGATACGTAACGAGCCAAAACGGACAATATTTTCTAACGGTGAACTTGGGCTGTTACAGATAGTATCCAAAGCCCGACACTCGGAGGCATGCCAATGAGGATAATCTCACCAACTTGAATAAAAAAAAGTGAAGTTTGGCATTAATTAAACTTCGAAGTTGACTATTGAGTAATTCTACCTAATTTATGTTGATTCAAGTTAGGTTAGGAAAAGTTATGAAAATCCATAGAAAATAAAAGGAAATTAAAGATCTAATCGAAATATAAAGAAATGCTTGTGCATGCAATGAAAGGAGGACACTTGTCAGGCAAACAACGAGACATGTATCGTGCAAGGAGAGTAGGCGAGTGTCGGTGCCTAGCAAGGACACACATCGCTCCTGTAAAGGGTGACCTAATCCGCGATCCATGATCCATGACTCGCCTCTTTTCAAATCGCAACTCACTTTTAGACGAACCGGCCTAGTTTTGGTCATGCCAACGAGAATGTGTCATGTGTCAAATAGAGAGCACAAGTATCTTTCTTATAGGCACGTCTATACTCGAGTGGGAAGCCCTCCAGACACGTGAGTGCCACTTTTTGACCTGGTGGACCTCTATTTGTTAGTTTTTCACTCCTTCCAAGAGCATTTTAAGAAACTTTGGAGCTCCTAGCACATGGAAAAGTTACAAGGCACATGTCATTCATGTAAATAACCACTCGTACTTGTAGGGATTGCTAGGACGTGCTGGCATGCAAGTATTTCTTACCTTAGGTAGTTGAAATATGTATATTTAGGACCTCAAAATGGTATTTTTGGACAAGTATGTTATGAATGTTGGGAAAAATTACTAAAATGCCCATAAAATGAGATTTTGAGTTGCATGCTGGATTTTATGCTTTTTGTCGAGCTAAGAAAGGATTATGCATAATAACTCAAGTAGGGCAATTTAGTCGAGTAAGTTATGTATGATGTGGATAACTACCAAAATGTCTCGAGGTCGAGATTTTGAGATGCATGTTGTTTTATATGCTTCTATTGTGCTAGAATGGAGGGAGGATGATATATTGTGATCTATGCATCGTGCGATTGATGGGTGTTATCTCTCGGTTGAGCTTGTATGTTGTATGTGTTATCTCAAGATGATTGATTGTCTGTTCACCCTATAGAATGTGTTTATATGCATAGAACTAGAGCTAGGACGTTAGAGTTGAGTTGGCTAGACGATGACCTAGGTGAGAACGCCTCTAGTAGACTGAGAACTTTAGGATCGTGAGCAGTGATCAAAGGGTCTAGACCCAAGTGCTTCCAGATTAAGAAAGACTCGAGGAGTCAAAGTAGAGTAGCTTGGAGTCTAAATGTCCATGTTAAGCTACCTAGATTGCTTAAAGTCCATGTGGTTACTTACTTAAATGATGTGTCTTCCCAAACTAGCTTTTTCGCATGTTAGAGGCTCCAAAGTTTTTTAAGTTTCATAATTTGTACTAATTCAAGTCATAATATGGTTAGCATCGAAATTTGAGCAAAAAATAGTCAAGCGGGGATCAACACTAGGAAGAAGTCCAACACGTGTAGCCACACGCGAGTACAGACATGCCTAGGGGAAGGATATGCGTGCCCACATCGTGACACATGGCAGCCTTTGATTCGCACATTCCACTCCAATGGATTGTGATTGATCCTTCACAAGCATGAAATTCTTTTGATTACTCTTGTTGTAGCACGTGGCATGCGAAGCAAGACGCGGGTCACAGGTCGAGTCAGGTAGACAAATCGAGTTGTGGGCTTTAAACAAGGTCATGTGTGGGTTGTCGAGTTGAATACGGATTCAGGTGGAGTTGAATTGCAAGACGCTTGTGGTCATTAGATGTGCGGGACATGCTTCTCCCTTCTTTTTTCAACATGTGGCATCACTGTAGCCGTAGCATTCCTACAATGACCCTCTTACGCTTGTCTTTTGTTTTTAAGAAATCGATCAATTTAAATTTTTTTTTTTTTTTTTTTTTTTGTAACTTTCTCTACATAACTCAAATCAACTCGGTTCCTTCATCAAAGTTGTGGGAATTTCATTCATCTTTACAAATATATTTTTCTCATAATTTATAACCAAACACTGAAAACGTTGACTTTCAATTCAAATTTCCTTCATAAAACTTGAGTGAAATAATTTCAAGAACAACATACTAACAATCCAGAACATAATATTGAATATGGAACTAGCCGACATCTAATTAAGAAAAAGGGGTCAAATGACCATTTTACCCCTCGATCGTCTTTGATCGACCTATTTTCAAATTTTCTCTATTTTATGTTATAATTTTCTTCCGCTCTCGAGATTTTTGGGAGCATTTTTTCTTCTTCTATTCAATCTTGAAATTCATCCTTGAAAACTCTTAATAAAATCTAAGAAATTCAAGTTTCAAACTCTTAATAAAAAAATGAGATCGAAATTGATTTATTAAAAAAAAGTTAAATATTTTAAAAAATGGAAGATGATGGCCGTGTTTCTAATGTGCGTTGGGTTGGTATCTGCACTACAATTCTCCACTGCTGATAGCCCAACCGAAATGGAGGCTAGATTCAAGTCGTTCTTAGGTGACTTGAGCGGCATAGAGGCAAAATTTAAGTCATGTGTTGCCAAAGGCGAGACCAGTGATTCATGTAAACCAAAGTGTAACACAGATTGCGACAAAAAGAAACCAGTGATTCATGTAAACCAAAGATAACATCCTATGGGGAGATAACATCCTGAAACGGTGCATATAAACACCCTATAGGAGATAAACAAGAAAATCGATAAGATATTCCTCTCCTCGCCCGGTGATAGAACCTCGCCCGGTGGGAGAAGATATTCCTTTCATTCTTCCTCTATGGTGTTTACGAAATCTGGTTCTTTTTGAGTTATAGTATGGTTATTTCTCAATTCCATCTCTACTACGGAACCAAAACCAGATATGAGAGTTTCTTCTCATCCATCTAGCTCCTCACTAATGAAACGATGGAAAGCATTTAACATAAAGGATAGCGTTGCAATGATTTTATCGTTAATGGTTATCATAGGGGCAAATTGAATCAAATGAAATAAAGCAAACCTCGTATAACCCAATTGAGACATGGTAGAATAGGCTAAACTTCTATCTTTTTGAGCCAGAGCTATAAATTAGCTCCAAATAGTACTATTATTATACCTATTAGATTCATGATGTAATACCATTTATGTTGAGCAAGAGCTAAAGTAGCTCCAAATAGTACTGTTATTATACCTATTAGATTCATGATGTAAGGTATTTTACCATCGCAGCAGCATGTATATCCACTGTCCAAAATCGAGAGCCATTCAAAATTATCTTGATTCATCCTCGGTTCCGAAATTGCCAAAACATTTATTCATCACAAATCTTATCATAGGGGCATTTTAGTAGTTTTTTACCTTTTACATAACTTACAATCTTCCTCGTGGCCAACATAAAAACGCTTTGTAGACAAATTATCTTCGAAGTTCGTAACATGCAATTTCTTTCACATTAGGCAATCGGCTTAAGTCCAAGGGCTAGATATAGATTCAAGTCAGATTGAACCACAAGGTGTGTGCTCTACCAGCAACTTCTATTCTAGTAAACATTATACCATACATCCAAAAACGCTTTGTAGATAAATTTTTTCCCTAGGTAAATAGAAGATTCAAGAGGCCCCTAATGATCAATATAAATACGAATGAGCCGACTTGATATTTGGGCATTATAACTACAAAGAAGACTTTTCGGATTTTGATTCTTTCGTATCTTCATAGAAAAAATTAAATCATAGCATTAAGAAGTTCGAAACTTTTTAGTACACATATTCGTTACGAACGGTATTTGGGTGTTTCTGTTTGAGCCGTACGAGACGAAATTCTCATATACGGTTCTCAGAGGGGGGTCCCCTTGGTTTCCCTATCTCAATAAAGTGTATGATTGGTTCGAAGAACGTCTTGAAATTCAGGCGATTGCAGATGATATAACTAGCAAATACGTTCCTCCTCACGTCAACATATTTTATTGTTCAGGAGGAATTACGCTTACTTATTTTTTAGTACAAGTAGCTACGGGGTTTGCTATGACTTTCTAGGGATAACAGGCTGATCTTCCCCAAGAGCTCACATCGACCGGAAGGTTTGGCACCTCGATGTCAGCTCTTCGCCACCTGGGGCTGTAGTATGTTCCAAGGGTTGGGCTGTTCGCCCATTAAAGCGGTACGTGAGCTGGGTTCAGAACATCGTGAGACAGTTCGGTCCATATCCGGTGTGGGCATTAGAGCATTGAGAGGACCTTTCCCTAGTACGAGAGGACCGGGAAGGACGCACCTCTGGTGTACCAGTTATCGTGCCCACAGTAAACGCTGGGTAGCCAAGTGCGGAGCGAATAACTGCTGAAAGCATCTAAGTAGTAAGCTCACCCCAAGATGAGTGCTC